CACACACACACATAGGCTCTGTAACTCTGTCACTCATAACCCAGAATTAGGGCACAACCATGCACTAACCCCCCCCCCCCTCAAAAAAAAAAATTGGGCAAATTTGGTGTTTGCACACAAAGGGGATTTGAAGATTTAATGTTTGTTTTTACACCCAATTGTCCAGATCAAACATCCACCACCCAACCCGCAACCTCAAATCACCCCCGAGCCAACAACTAAAATTACCAAAACACTACCACCACCCCCGCCTTCTTCCCCCCAACGACTACCAGCCACCTGTCGATCTTGTACATTAAGTGTTTGTTAAAATGCCTAATGCACCACCACAAAATTATACATAAACTAAAGATCTCAATTGTGGCTCCCTTTCTCTCTAATTTTTTTTTTAATTTCAAAGGTCCATTTGGTGTATTAATTTCAAATATTTGAGTATCTGGATTGTGGTTCACGCACAAAAAATTAGTCTCTCCGGCTGTTTATTGCTTTCAAAGTTTACATTAAAATTTTCATGGTCAAAATTTTCTATTTGGTTTCATAAGTCCTTTGCTTTTAAATGAATTTTGCCAACTGGATATCATGATTGGAATTATAATTCATAAAACACTATCCTTAGTTGAAGTTGAGTAGAAATTTTTCAAACATATATCTATGGGGTATACTAATAAGCATTGGTTTTCATTGCAGATTTTATTTTTCCATTGTTTGTATTGACTAGATTGAACTGATTTAGATTTTATATTTTCTTGAGCACATGGAAAGTAGTTTTGTCAGCTAAAATACCTTTTTCATTCATGTATATTTAGTATCCTAAATTCATATTCATTTACATTTTTTTCCCCATTCTCATGTAAGATAGTTTGGTGGTTCCTAACCCGTAATTTATAGATATTTACATGGAACTATTGTAGCAAAAGTAGAAGTTGTTATTTTGGGTTGAAACGCATTTAGTATTTTTTTTGTTTTACCACTTGGGTTTCCATTTGGTGATTTTGTTCTCTGTATTGCTAGGTTTGATTTATTTATGTTGGTTGGAGGTGCTGCTAGGTGGTGGTGGTGATTTTAAAATAGGTGTCCGACGGTGTTTGTTTACGCATTTCCTTAATTAACATCTATTTCATAGCAGTCACGTCGTTGCACATAGTTTGTTTGATAAAATGTCTAATAGAAATTGATTATTGGAATTAATGAATAATGTGCACACTTTTGGTACTTGAATTGGTTTAGCTTATGTGTACTCTAATTAACCCTTTTGTTGCATGAACTCAGAAAGATCATAGAAGCTCAATTCGGACAGTACCTTGTGAGTAGATTTTGCTTGGGCTGTTTAACTATGGAAGTTATTTATCTTACATATCTATGGCAGCAACATGACACATCAGCCACCTCCTTATCCCAATCGCTTAATACCCAATTATCCTCTTGCTCAAAAAAAACTAAAGGTATGGCCTTCTCTATTGATTATTCTATTTTAATAGTTTTTATTTTTTTTAAATTTTTTTTTATTTCATTGATTTTCTTTTGGAAGATAAGGAGATATGTGATTGAGAACAAGGGGTCCGTAGCCATTTGAGTTAGTTGTGAAAGTCAATGATAGGCGATGAACAGTGAGATTTTTTTATACTTTGTCTATTGGCTATTTATTTAGCCTACCCTAATTCCCCATATTTGCTCCTTATTATATTTTTATTTCATCTATTGAATGCATGATTTTCTTTTCCATCATCTAGGTGTCTCCTGGGAAATTGAACCAATTAAGGACATGGAACCTTTGGCTTACACAAGCTCTTATTGCACAACATTATAGTGGGTATGCACCATTATTGGTAGTTAAGAATCGTTTTGTTAGTCCTAAGTATATTCTTATGATTAGGCACTATGTTTGTTAATGTGGAGGGTAGTCGTAAGGATTCACATAATGTAATTTGTGCACAACATCTGACCCTAAAGTCCGTTGCACAATGTCACTTGACAGGGACATAATTTTTGCTTTCAAAGAGTTGCACATGGTGGCTTACATTTGAATCTATTATATTGTTGTTGTTGCTAGGTGAATGAGTGCTTACGGGTGTGCTAATTTTTCTAATTCTACAAGTTAAAATATTTACGCATTCAATTAGATTTTTCTATGTAATTTTTGTTTGTGGAATAGGTGGTCGGTTCAAATATATTTTCTATCCACACTGATATGCTTCATATATTGTTTTTGTAACGGCCTTCTAATTTGTATACCTTTTAATAATGACTTTTTTTTTTTGGGTTACGTAGTGCCTTCATATTTGTTTTTGTAATGTTGCTTAGTCATCTTTTGATGTATGTTCAACTTCTTTTAATTCTTTACATACATATATTCATATGTTTATTTTGGTACTATATATATTAACGAAACTTTTGTTTTTTTTTTCCAGGTGTTACCAAATGAGTAAGTGGTTCTTAGAAGACCTCCATCTTTTTTTATCATTTTAATTTTATGCATATGCAGAGAAACATTAAACCTTATGAATTTTTTTTAATTTTTTTCATATTTATATGTACTTCAAGAATTTTAAACTCTTTTGTCTAAGTGATGGTTTTTGGAGGATGTCAAAATATGTTGGTTTAGTGTTTATATTTGGATGTGAATGGATTATTTGAGTGTAATTTGTATTTTAAATTCTTGTGATGGAAATGTACATATAGTCATGTGAATGGTGGATGATACAATACACCTTATTTGTGACGGCACCAGACCCGTCACAAATGCATATTCCCGCGCGCCAAAAAAATATTATTTGTGACAACTAATAGATCTTCGTAAATAGTATACAAAAAAAATGGATCTTTTGAGACGGAGTTTTTGGTAGCCTCAATTACTTTTTGCAGCAACTATTTGCCGCAAAAAATACTTTTTGTAGTAGCTATTTACTGTAAAAAAATACTTTTTGCAGTAGCTATTTACTGTCAAAAATATTTTTGTAGTCCTATTTTATACGGCTATTCAATGTTAATGCATGTATGTCGCAAAAAAAGTACTTGAGACGGCAAATATACTTTTTGCGGGAGCACTATGCCATCTCAAAAAGGTTCTTTTTTGTAGTGATCCTAGGAATGCTTAAGGCATTGATGATTGATTACAAGAAAAAATCCAAGTAAAACTACCCAAGACATCAAAGAAGCACTTTGGTGGAGAGACTTATAAAAGGAAGTGCACATCATCTAACCATGACATTAATTGAGGTATAAAACCAGAGTACTTATAAATTGACTTTGTGGTAGTGGATTCAACTTTTAGTGAATCTTGGGTAGTTTTTCGCGATTTTTCCCAATGAAGGTTTTCTCATTAAAAAATTTACATGTGTTAATCTTTGTTATTTTCATATACACTTGTAATTTTAACACACACGCGCACTAGGTGTTGCTTGAATGATTGATTGAATATATTTATCATCTATAGTTGTGCATCAAGGGTTTGGGTCGTTGGATTGAGATCCCCATGAGTGATTGAGTGTTTGAGCAATATCAATCTTTGTTGGTTGAGGTCATTTAATTTACATATTATCAACATCAATCTTTATTGGTTAAGGAGTCCTTGTGGTTGAAAATGTGTTCTAACACTTAACATTCATATCATTGTGTAACGAGGTAATTTTGGTAATAATATGTTAAAATTGGTAGTCATCCGAGATTAAATTTTAGGGCAAAATCTAGTTTACCCCTTGTGGTTTGATCGTTTTGCACATCACCTCCTTGTGGTTCAAAAATCATCACATAGCCCCCTTGTGTTTTTGGACTGAAATGCTTAGTTAACACCGTTAACAGAGACCACCTTACCTTACTTAAAATCTTAATAAACTTTGCGACCACATCTACTCCAACCCCATTACATCTTCACCCACTGTTCAACTCTCCACTGAATCACTAGTCATTGGTCATCTACTCCAACCCCACTATATCTTCACTCACTATTCAACTCTCCACTGAATCACTAGTCATTGGCCATCACCACTAAATCACAACTGCTCACAAAAACTAGTTTTATTTTTTTTGTGATAAAAATTAAAAAATATAAAACATGTTTGATAATTATTTATATTTAAAAAATTATGAAAACAAAAATAAAAAACATGTTTGATATTTTACCCAAAATCAACCACCCAACACCAATTAGTCCCACCACTAGCAACCACCTAACCCTACCACAAACCCACCCCCCAAACCCCTTGCAATCCACCACAAGCCACCCATACTGAAAACCCCTCCCCCCACCAACAACAACCCAACAACACCAAAACCCCCACCCCCAAACCCCACAAAAAACCAATCCCAACACCCCCTGGAACCCCCACACCACACCAAAAATCCACCCCAAACACCCCTGAAACCCCCACGCCACACCTGAAACCCATCCCCTAACCCCATGAAACCCACCCCAAACCCCTGAAAACCCACTCCCAACACCCCTTGAAACCCACCCCAAACCCCCGAAAATCCACTCCCAACATCCCTGAAAACCACCCCAACCCTTGAAACCCAACCCCAAACCCACTGGAAAAACCCCCACCATCTCCACTGAAACCCGCAAGACAAGAGAGAAAAAGGAGAAGGAGGCAATAGGCGAGAGCTGCAAAGGCACAGAGATGGGAAAAGGGAAACGAGAAATGAGGAATGAACGGTCATTTCTGATTTTTTTTCCGATGAGAAAGAGAGAGAAAAGGACGGGGTTTTGTTTTTTCTTTTATGTTATTTTTTTTTCTAACAGTAAAATGTAGAAGGAGATAAAAAATTGTCTTTTTGAAAGATCACCAGGATATATTTGGACTTTTATATTGAGCTTTGACTTTGACTTCAATTTTTCACATCCATACTCGCAAATCTTGTGTGTGTGTTATAATTTTTGTCACTTTTGATAGAAATAGTAACGGTCGCACTTTAGTCCAAAAACACAAGGGGGCTATGTGCTAATTTTTGAACCATAAGGAGGTGATGTGCGAAACGATCAAACCACAAGGGGGTAAACTGGATTTTGCCATAAATTTTAATTAAACAAACTAAAATGATTGTCATTTAATAATACACTTCAACCTCTAGCGGCAAAAAAAATAAAGATGTCATTTTCAAATATTAATGTTAAGGTCTTAGTAACATTTGAAGTTTATCTAGTTTCTCTAGCTTGGTATCAAGAAAACAGGGGCACAAACAATCCACCCCCTCACATCTGGAGAGCTTCACAGAATGATGGATGATCAATGTAAAAACTCCAAAATGGCATAATAAGCGACCAACACTGGAAGGGACACTATCATGCCAAAGATAACCCTGAAATGCCAATAGCAAAAGAGGTAAGAGTCAGTTTCGGGAAAAAAAAAAAAAATTCAGCCATAATTCGATCGAAGGAGATATGGTACCAAAGTTGGCACTTGTGTTTTTTTTTTTTTTTGGGTCAAAATACACTTTTGTGATACTAGGTTATAACAAAAATAAATAGGATTCATCTTCAAATGTTTAAGGTTGATCCAAATAACTCTATTGTGTTATGACTTGATCAAATAATGTGTAACTTAACTCATAAAGTTGGATATTTTAGTGCACTACAGAAACAAAATTTATGGCACTATACTCTCACCCTAATCATAAAGTTTGAGCAACCATCATATGTTATTTATTTATTTTTTTTAAGTACAAGCCCTGGTAATAAAAAGTATATGTAATATTATGATGTAGATAACTTACGCAGTGCTAAGTACGTCTGCGTGCAACTCATATTCTTTGGCATATATGAAGGACGTAATGGATTGCGGCAATGCTGCCTGTAACAATACAATATAATGACGTTAACACAGAAACAAATTAGAGCTTATTACCGTACGCGCACATCTATTTAACCGTAAGTCTTTTTTTTTGGGTCAAAATTGTAATGCTCCGTTCCGGAAAATTTGAAGGATGAAAATGTGGAAGGATGGAAAGTTTAAAAGATAAATAAAATATCATGTTTGGTAAGAAAAAAAAATAAAAATGATAGAAAAGTTGATGAATTAACTTTTCTTCCAACTCATCAAAATCAATTTTTTCAAAATCGGAAGGAAAGTAAATAAAAAGTTAATTATTTGTGTTGAAATGTATCTTATTTGTCTATATATCTTTTAATATATACATATATTGTGTATACGTTAATTTTATATAAAAATACAATGATAAAATATGTATTTATGTATATATTTTTAAAAAAATTTAAAAATTTAAAAGTTAAAATTAAAATTTTAAATTTAAAAAATATTTTTTCCCATCTTAACTAATGGCGAAAATTTTTGACTCAACACGATGACACAACTCGAACTCGACACGAATTTGAAAATGACCTAACATGTAAACAATAAATATAAAAAACTCATATTTAGTTCAATCAATCAAACTCAAAATTGACACCATCAACCCGTTTATTTAAAAATAAACATTTTCTCTATTTTCGTGTTTGTATGGTAACACGAAACTAACATATTTAACTAGTATTATAAACATAAAATGTTAATTATTTGTAACTATTTATTAAGTACTAACATAATTATTATATAAAAAAGATATTTTTACTTAATATTATTATATTTATTTAAGGTAATTTTTAGTTTGTAGAAAAAATATTAACATGTATTCAATTAAGTAAAAATAGAATATTAGCGTTAAATTTTTTATTTAAAGTTTATGTGGGTTAACATGAATATGAATACGAATATGAACACGACACGAAAATAAATAGGTTAACTCGCAACTCGACACGACAAAATTAGTTAAATGAGTTGAGTTAGGTTTAACTAATGTTTGACACAAACCTGTAATGACTCAGCACGAATATGATGTAACAAGACTCGATTGTCGCCCCTAATCTTAGGCAACACAAAAAAAAATTAGTCATTTTTATTTTTCATCCATTCAACCAAACACAAATGAAAAAAAGTGTATCATTCTTACTTTTCTTTTTTGAAGGATAGAAAATGTATCTCTCTTACTTTTCATCCTTCCCCCCAAACGGAGCATAAGTCTTAAGAGTAACCCTGTAGACACTAACACCACCCTCTATAATAGTTTAACTATAATTATGTAATATTTGCAATAATTTATATTTATAATAAAATTATTTAAACATAATTTTGACACATAAATTGGGATCCACATCTAATTCAATTATACAATGGCACTAAATTTTCAAATTGGATCTAAATATCATTCCTTATATTTTTATATATTGAGTTGGAAATGCACTGGATTTTCAGGTTTTGCATCACTGAGGTCATGCTAGCCATTTTACTCTTCTAGAAACTGCTGGTTGCCTAGTGAGCTCAGATCACACTATCATACCATTGTGATGAGTGACGAATCTTAAACGAGGGACTCAAAACAACAGCATATGAGTCCAATTGCTGTTATGTACAAATTTGACATCTAAGACGAGTTCTAATTATCTCCCTGAACATACAGACCGATATCACATATATCAGATGATGTTCATCATCCCCCCCCAACCCCCCAACCACCACCACATCAACTCCTCCTTTTCAAAACCAACCCCGCACAGAAAAGTGTGTTGCAACATATGAAGATTTGTTTGTTAGTTAAGACTGGCTAAAGTCATAACCCTAAGTATAGATTGAATTATAGAAATATCAACGGGAGCTCCTCAAATGATGGTGAGCCACAATTCTCTTTCTCTCTCTCTCCGAAGCCCAAAAAAATTATAACTCAAATGTATATCATCTTTTTTATGAGTAGGTCATATCAATTTTTTTCGGTAGGACCTATTCATCCAACGCTCATCAAAGGAATAACATGCATGTAGGTTGCACTCTGTTGATTTTTTTGGGGTTATGTACCATTTTTCAATTTTTTTTATTTCTTAAGATGACCAAAACAATGTTTCCAGAACTCAAACTCTATGAAGAGAGATGTAATAATCCAAAATAAATTATTTTGGATCCCCAAAAATATGAACGAGTTTTTTGACAGGACAAATATATGGTAACAAAAATTATTTTTTTTAACACCATATTAAACACCCGTAAATCTTAATTAAAATTATTTAGTCATTCATGATAAAAATAAGAATATAATATGGTTGCGGGTTTCATGTTTTTATTGGGTAAAAAAGTGAATTCTTATATGAAAAAGGTATTTGTTGTATCAAAATCTTCTTTTTTTTTTTTAAAGAACTTGCATGTATGACAAATTATGTCAATTTTTTTAAAGTTTGAATCGCATTATTCTTTCTATCTGTCGACCATATGAACACCGGTCCCCGATCAAGGAATTACCTGTATTATAGCAACACGTAGTACATCGCCATGCAGACCTACAGCGATAGAACCAATAGCCATTGCTGCTGGTCCGGCAATAAACCTCAAAACCATTCCAAACACTGTTAGACTAGCTCCACACGCAATTACATTCTCTTGCAACGCCATGAAAAGCCCTGCATGCATGAAGAACCCTTACATTTCTGGAACTGATAATTATGTTGAAGCTTAGACAAAAACGTACAAAAAAAATAAGAACGATTGTGCATGGAATTAACATTCTCACCCATACTGAACATGGCAGTGCCAGTTCCAGCTCTAGACATGATCAATATAGATCCTTCCATGATGCTCGGCATTTGGAAATGCCACCTAAAACAATCAGAATATAAACTCTAACTCAAGTGTTCCACCACAGTCAAACTAAATGTTTATGTTCTTTTACAAATGAAAATCTTTTTCTCTTAAGAACATGCTAAGTGTTGCCTTCAGACGTGTTTTCATATTTTTATTTTATATGGAACTTTCTTTTTGAACTTAAATTTTATTTTCCGGCAGAAAAAGAAAAAGGAAAAACGTCTATTACCTGTTAGATAAAAATGCCCAAGTGATACCAACAATAGAAGCATATGAGTTCGGATTCATAGCGAGTTTTAGCCATACAGCCTTCATCAAATACCAGAAAGATGGCCGTCTGCTTGTCACAATGTTGACATTTCCTTCCAAATCTGTACCTGATTCCTTCGGAACGCCTGAATCTCCTATAGTTGTATTCGAGAAGAAGTCAGTCCCTATTCGTCTGAATTCTAGCACGAACAATAGTATCGTTAACCATATGATTGCTTGGACTACCGATGACTGAACAACTAAGTCTACAGCCGTCGGACCATACATGGCTTTAATAAGAGGCACTCCTACAACAAGAGAATTAGTTAAAGTAGACAAAGAGAAGCTTGTTATGGACCAACAATAGCTTCCCTTGCTACTAAACTTAGCCCAAAAGGCAAGCACCGCCACTATAATGACTTTTGAAATACCGTCGGCACCAATGAAGAGAAAGTTCATCTTGAAAGGATCGACGTGAGCAGTGAATTCAAAGGTGAAGAGAGGCAATGTGAAATAGCAAACAAGGCGGTTTATTGCATCACATTGTTCGGGAGTAAATATTCGCCACCATTTAACAGAGCCGTATCCTAAAACAAGAGCTACATAGAGTGGTGTCATGGCCACCACCACCTTGCATACGTCTTCCCACCCTATCATCTTCCAAACCCTTCAAGGAAAAGGTATGCTCTGCTAAGATTTTGGGGTTTGTGGATACTATTGACTAGATGACATGTTCGATGAATGGAAAGGGCTGAGGCTATTTATATGGACGCTGGGAAAAAGCATACTCGTTTTATATAATACTTGCATGGTGGGTGCATACGATTCTATGCCGTGGATTCCTAATAGGTTACATAAGTTATGGTGGGTTCTTGAAAGGTCAATTCAGCCTTCACCAGTGGTTCTGATTTGTGGTCAGCAATATAGAGAATAAGAATGAGATCCAGCAGTTTATTCCATCAACCTTTGCCAATACTGTTTCTAATTTTGTTGTATATTTTTTAATTTTTAATTATCGCCTCCATATCTATTTGTTGGAGCCCTATATATGTCAGGTATGAAACTTTTAATTAATTCGAAGTATGGTCAAATGAAACTAGCTAGAGCGGCATTTTGCAGCGCACTTTATAAGTTACATTAAAGTAGACATGCTTATGGAAACCGCTGTATGTCCCTTACCGGTCTATTGATGACAAAGGTGGACGAAGCATTTATGAGCAAGAAGTCTGGGTTCGAACATGCTTTGTCACATATACGTGTGAATCTAGGTAAATGCAGGCATATCAAGGCTCATATGAGCTTAAATCTAATCTAAGCACAATACCTATGATATGCGAACAAATGTGTAGGTGCTAAATCAATGTTTGTGCAGACGATTGTAATCGAGAATAGGGTTTCGTCCCTGCCCCATTTTCAATTGTCTTGGCTAACATACCTCAGCCTATAGTGACGCTGATACTCATTTCTTGTTTTAAGCTATACTGAGGTGCTAGATATCCATGGCTTTTGATCATTCCTTGTCACGTGTCATTTAGTAGATCGTACGTATGTATTCGCTATTTTAGGTGTAAAAAAAAAACACTTTTACAGGTGATTTGATATTTGCTGCAGAATATAAATACTTATTTTTTTACATCCCCTCATTTGTAAAACTTTTAGACTAGCTTGTGATTTAACATAGTATAATAACATGACCTTGTTGCCATCTTTGACAAAATTAAAGCCTGCATGTCGTTATTTCGGAATTTAGTCTGCACAAAAGGTATAATGTACAAAAACATTTATGTTATACTCTCTCTAATCTTAAGCTTTTGAGGAGTTAATGATTTAATAATATTACAATTTCTATTAAAATTAAGAAAAATAAGGTTATCCTCACAACAGCAAAAAATAAAAATTTATGCATTCACCTAATTTTGAAAAAAACAAAGAACGAAGATATTATTACAAAACTTTATTTCCCATGCCACTTGCAAAAGTTTTGCAAAAATTTTATGCTGGTGTGCGATATCCTTAACACATGGAAACCTAATAGTTCCAAGAGTTTGTCCACTTATTCCATAATAGCAATGGCATTTTTGATTGAGAATGTTCTCGGAAATTGTTGCACTCTTTACACAAACCATTATATGCCGATGCATAGAATATGTTCCATTCTCAATAAATGATATGCTGGCCATAGCGCAATCCGATTAATCACTACTCAATTGTGTATCCTCTAAAAACCTACATTTCACAAACTATATTCCTTATGAGTTGTTTCGATGGGACGCTTAATCTGATATTTGTTTGTTTGTTCTTTCAGGACTGAATTGAATGGTATAGCTACATGATTGAGTCCAAGGGTTTCTTCTCACTATAAACGATTGGTTAAGGGCTGATGCTTTTATAGCATCCCTGGAACAATGACAGTACATGTACAACACAGTTGAGAGCTGACATGCTTCAGTGGTGACATAGACAAGACACTTCATGAATTACTTTTGATGTGAGGAGCTAATTCTGGTGGGACTAAATCTCAACAATAACAAGATAAAAATTAAAATAATAAATAATTTGTTACCTTGTGATTAATGCTTTTTTTTGTGAACATGGAAATTAATGTCATTAAACATGATTTTCTTAATACGGATTAATATCAAATTGTTGACGTAATCCCACGCTATTATACTTAGATTGATCATGGATCTCAATATATGTTAAAGTCCACTATCAACTCAATAACAACAATGGATTAGATCAACTAATTAAATTAATAAATTAGATCTTATTACCATTGTTATTCTCATTATAGCCAAACTAAAAGCACTTAAGGAGATATAGGAAAAGAGAACAAAGAGTTTTAGACTAATTTCTTGCAAACATGTTGAAGAGATCCAACTAATTAAATATAAATTAGATTTAATTAACTGACAACTTAGTGTTTTAGCTTAAATATGAAAATGATTTATCAGATTAAGAAGCACTAAAAATTTCGTGAGCTGCAGATGTAAAAATATATTTAAATATGTATAAATAGAATTTTCAAAGAAAACAATTGAGTGCGAGCCTCCACTCTAAATCTGTAGATTAGTCACGTTACTCCTATTCCGACCAGTACTAAAGGTTAACCTTGACTTATAAATCAGGAGAAGAGCATTCACCACTTAGTCATACTTCATGCGAGAATTTTGTCCTCTAACTGACAAACCTGTTAGTGGAGAATTCACCATTAAGTAATATTTTGTATTTGGTTATGGCCTTGATAGTTCTGTGCTGCCCATAACAAAAAAAAAAATGTTGCTTCTACAACTCTTACCAGTCAATAGCATGCCAACATGGTGATGGTTTTGTCATTAGAGAATAAGCTATTTTCTCCCTTTGTGTTCCACAACAGAATTCTCGGGGTGGAATAGGTCAATATATCACTAACAACGAGAAATTTGATAATTAAAATAAGAGAGAGAGAGAGACATGAATTTGTTTTTTGCACACATGGATTCGGGAATGGCGGTCCGAGACATTTTAGGACCTAAAGTGAAAATAATAAATGAGGCTTTTTATTTAAAATATATTTTTATTTTTTGAAATGCAAAAATATGAATTAAATTTATAAATTCAAGCTTTTGTTATAATAGTTGAACTTGATGGTAAGAAAGGAGGGGAGAAAGATATAATGATTGAAAAACTATGATGGTAGATTTGAACTAGATTTTTTTTTATTACTATTATTAAGACTTGAGTTTTAGTAGCTTTAATTTTATACTAGCTTTTTTCTTTTTGTATTTCAAAAAATTGAATTTTAGAGTTTTTGATTTTATGAGCTAAATTAATAAGCTCAATCCACTCAAGTTAACATATTTTGTTTGAGCTTTACATTGAAGTTTTTTGTGGGCCTATTTCATGTGGATTTAAATTTTTTATTGGGTCTTTTGGGTATAGGTACATTTTTTTAAACTTATTTTAGAAGAAGTGTATAAATAATTATTTTACTTTATTAAGTTCAATTTTAATAAAATATCTTATGATTAGGTACAAAATTCAATGACATTAGAATTTTTTTCCTTACTTATCCTTCCTTAAATTATGCATAATTTTTATTCTTTCCATCTCTCTCAACATTACTCTCTCACTATCTCTCTATTTTCTCTTCATTACTCTCCCTATTTCTCCCCTATTTTCTCTCTCTATCTCCCATTGATAATTTTTTTTAAATATATAAATATTTAATTTAATTTTTTCATCTTTCTCTCACACTCTCTCTGTCTCCATATTTTCTCCATCTCTCTCTTTATATCTGATGATGCACAAATTAGTATTGTGTAATATCAACAATTGAGTAAATGTAAGGGTGCAGTTAATGAACAGTAAATAGGCAATTAATAGTAAAACAGTAAATAAGAGCAAACACACAAATTTATAGTGATTCAGTCCTGGTGACCTACTCCACTCTCGAGAACGGCAATAGTAGCCGAGGATCTTTATTGATAAATAAAAGTCACCAGGAGAATTCATTCCAAGAGAGTTACAATGCTTTGGGAGAGAGAAACTTGAAGTGTAGAGAGGTGTTTTGAGGTCTCAAGGTTATGCCCTCTATGTGGAGAGGTCTTACATTATATAGGGATGGTGAGGCGGTGATGTAAGGGAGAGAGCTCTCCTATTTTGGTAACTACAATTAGGGTAGGACTAGATCTCCATATCTCCATGAGGCGTATCCCGATATTTTCTCCATCGTGCTCTTATTCTTTCAGAATTCCTGGGTCCTGAGCTGGGTCGAAGTGGCAAAGTGAGGAAGTCATAGGAAAGATTGGAGGGCCAACACTTGGGCATCGCCTAGGTCCTGGGCGGCACCCCCTTAGGCGGCTCCTTTGGGCGCTAGCGACTCAAGCTTCTTTTGGGCTCTGACGACTTGGGCCACTTTTGATTTATTGGGCCTGACCTAGTTGATTTTGGGCTCATTGTTTGCCCTTCATGCCCAATCTTCTGACCTTTTGTGAGAGGAAGGGATTGAGGGCATATGTTTCTTCTTCACTTTAGTGAGCAAGAGTTTTCTTGCTCTCCACGGTGTTTTTTCATCTTTAGGGACTCTATTGATTTTACTGACCCTGGATATTTTTAGGTGAGGGAGGGTGGCGCCAGGGGAGACGCCCATTTTGTTCAAGGCCATGATCAAGTCGGAGGAGGCGGTACTCATGCCACAATCGGCACCATGGGTGGCGCCCAAGAGAGAGGTGCTCGGCAGGGAGGTGCCTAGTAGGACGAAAGGGAGGCGATGCCCAGTAGGCTAGAAGGGAGACGACGCCTAATAGGCTAGAAGGGAGATGATGCCTAGCAGGCCGCTAGGGAGACAACACCTAGAAGGGTAGCGCTTGGTAGGGCAACACCAAGTAAGGAAGTGCCTAGTAGGGTGACGCCTGGTAGGGGAATGCTTGGTAGAGAGGCGCCAAGTAAGGATGTGCCTGGTAGGGGGAGCGTTTGATAGGGCAACGCTGGTAGGGGAGCTCCTAGTAGGGCGGCACCTAGTAAGGAGGTGCCAAGTAGGGATATGCCTAGTAGGGAGGCGTCTGGTAGGGGAGTGCCTGGTAAGGTGGCGCCTAGTAAGGTAACTCCTGGTAGGGGAGCGCTTGGTAGGAAGACGCTTGGTAAGGCAACGCCTGGTAGGGGAGCGCCTGGTAGGAAGACGCCAAGTAGGGGAGCATCTGGTAGGACGACACCTAGTAGTCCAGCCTAGTAGGCGAATCCGCTTTCTCCAATCCTG